TATGCCTGTTATGTCTCCTTCAGTTAACTTAGCGTTGGCTCGATCTGCCAGTTCCAACAGGCTTTTCAGCGCCGTGTTTTCTGACACTGATACAGTGGAACCCATGCTGTTCATGGGTTCATGGGTTCATGGGGTTCATGACCCCCCCGGTGTGCCACGGATCTGCTCCTGCCTTTCTCGGGCAGCCTGGCTTACCTCGCCAGCTGACAGTCCCATGTCTTTTTTTTTCCTGGCTGCGATAATAAATCCATAGGGTCACCAAAATGCCGGGTCTCAGCATCCGTGAAAGGACGGGAACGACTCTCACACGCAATGCTAAGATACACAGTCAGAATACTTTATTCTCCCGCTTGTGCGGTTATATACATTTTCCATATCTGTACATACGATTATGCTTACGTCGGATAGGCTACAGAGATAAATCACACACTGTTCACACGCCCCACATTCCCTTATAATTGGTAACTGCACTAATGCTAATAGCAACAGACCGCCTGCACGTCCTTGAACACATCTTATTTTGCTAACCCACACCATGTGCGCTATCAGAACTTTCTCAATGGCTATTCTTAGCTGTCTTTTCCAGAAAGCCTGTTAAATCACAGTTTTGCTTAAGCAGCCTAGTCATGTTAATTCTCAAGCTACATCGACCCCAACAGGGTGCCAGCAACTGGAGAGAGAAAAACATGTTGCAGGCCTCATGCCTCTTGCTGTCAGCAACCTGAGGCATCACATTTCACATGTAAGTGTGCGACATCTAAGGACAAGTGTCTGGGGGGATCTCCGTGTGTGCCTCTTTTTTCTTAGTGAATTTAGTTTGACATGGTGTGTGTCTTTCTGGAATTTGTTGGCGTATTTCAAGGTGGCTTAGGCAGTGAGTGGGACAAGAAGCTGTATGGAAAGTCTGAGTCAGAGGTGGGCAAGGGAGCCCAAGGCCTGCACACAGACATTAGAAAGGCTGATATTCCCAGTCATGGCAATGTTTGAGGGATCCAAGAGTGAGGGGGAATTTTGAGAGTGTGGGTGATTTCATGCCTCTGTTTGCTAGTGAACATCAGGCTGTCCTAGCTAGAAAGCAGGAGGAGACCCAGGTGCTGTGTAAGAGAGCTCAGGTTCCAGGCAGGCCTATGAGATGCACTGAGGGCCCGTGCTGATATTGGAGGGCTATACAAATGTGGTTGTGCTTGTGACTCCAGAGGGTAAGGGACGTGTGTTCTCACTAGGGAGTTTTATGTCACAGACATCCTGGAGACACTCAAGCAAAGGGCCACTCCAGATGATGAAGAGACCAGAGGAACTCTGACATGGAGAAGTCTTGAGAACAGGGACTGTTCAGGACAGAGAAGAGAAGTCTCAGGGGAGCTCTCACTAAAGTATACAAATATCTGAAGGGAAAATGAGAAGAAGTCAGAGCCATACTTTTCTCCATTATGTCCAGTGAGAGGCCAAGATGCAAGAGGCACAAACTGAAAGATAGAAAACCCTGTCTGAACGTCAGGAAACACTTCTTCATTTTAAAGGAAGCACTGGCACAGGATGGCCAGAGGTGGAATCTCCACCCTTGGAGGCATTCAACAGGTATCCAGACATGATGCAGGACATGTCACGAGAGGAGACACAAACATCAAGGAAGAAGAGACTGCCAGGGATGTGGTCCTGGGGTCAGCCAGGATGGTTGCAGTTTGAGGACTATGGCTCAATATCTCCTCTCAGTAGCAGTGCCAAAGTCCTCATCTTCCTGTATGTGTCCTACACCTGCCATGAAGTCTAGGAAGGCAGATCCATCCCAGGAGTCCTTTGGAGGGTAAGCTTCAGCCTGCTCTTTCACCTGGGAAAGGTTGTGTCAGCCTTGGGACCCTCCACATCTCTAGGAACATGCTCTTACGTCATGAGGAGGTCCAGAACATCTGTGAGAACAAGAATCAAGGACTGCACTGCCAGTAGACCAGGAACAGCCCCTTCACATGATGGGGCCCCCAGAGTGCACAGGGCCTCCTGCTGTGGAAATGTTCAGAATGCCATTGGCTGGGGGAGCCACAGGTGTTGCTGCTGCAGGAGGGAGCAACTCAGAAGGAGCATTTCAGGCACAGGAAGAACAGATCACTGCTCTGCCCTGCTTCTTCCTTTGCTCCCCCAGCAGAGTCATTTCCGGCAGTTCTGTTATCTTAGGACTAGGATGTGGTTTTCTGACTCTCTCTCACTCACCCAACAGGCAGACTGGTCTCGGCATGCATCTCGGATATCTTGTCCTCATGGCCTTCCTGGGGCAACCGCTAGGTAAGTCCAGGCTTTCTATAAACACATACCTTTCTTCTCCCAATGAGTCCCTTGCCAGCCTTATTAGGATCATGCAGACACCTACTCTTGAATAACAAGAAAACGCTGGGAAATCTTCCCCCACATTGTTGTTTTTGCACCAGTTCTCTCAAGATGCTCTTACTGTTCAAAAGGAGAAGAGAAAAGAGAAGAGAAGAGAAGAGAAGAGAGGAGAAGAGAAGAGAAGAGAAGAGAAGAGGTTACCTTTGACACCTTCTCCATCTTACCTCCCCCCTTCAAATCCTCTCTCTGTGCCTCTCTCTGCTGATCTACCTGCTGTCACCATAGGAGATCTCGGCTGTCTCTGAAGACCCACATTTTTCCCTTGCCAGTGCAAATTAGCTGATCCTGTCAATGCTGCTAGAGGGACTTCAAGGCTCCCATCCCACTGATATTAATAGGGTGCCCCAGTCTGCCATGACGTCCAGTTTTCTTCTAGTTGCCAACATAACCAGGCCTCCTGTTTTTTAACATTCAGCTCTGCTGTGTATTGACTCAGGGAGCTAGAAGCCTTCAGAGATGACAGGGATAGGGAAGCAGGATGAATCTCTTTGTCATACCTCTGCAAGCCCTTCAACCTGCTGGTGAGGTGCTGGTGGCAAAGGTCAGGCATGACAGAGTGTTCCCTGGTCCTCTGGGCTGTAGGAGCAGGAGCAGAGAGGAGGAGCACCACCCTGCTCAAGATCCACGCTGGACTGAGAGCTCCAAGCTTGTTCCCAAAACAACTCTCCACTTGGCTGTCTCCAGGCCTCAAGATTTTCCTGCAGGGCAAGGGACAGGGAATCTTCTCCACCAGGATTTTGTATGCATTCCTGGTTTGCTTCCCTGAGCCTTTCCCTGCAGTGTTGCTGACCTTCACTTTCTTCCAGGCACCATGGGGCAGACGACTGTTACCCAGCAAGAAGGACAAGTCACAGTGAAGCAGAGAGACACCTTCCAAACAACCTGCACCTACCAGACCTCGTACTTTCGAGGCTTGCTCTGGTACCAGCATAGGAAAGGCCAAGCTCCCCAGCTGATCTCATATCAGGCAACAGCCACCTCTAAGCGGAGTGGCCGTTTCACCACGTTGCTGAACACTGAGGAGAAATACAGCCTCCTGCAGCTGGAGGAAGTCGAGGTCTCTGACAGCGCCTTGTACCTCTGTGCTGTGCAAGACACGCTGGTGCAGAGAGCTTGCTTGGCTGTGCAGTAACCCAGGGGAGGGAGGGGATGTGTCTGTGGTGTAAGGCTGAGGCTGAAAGAAAGGGACCTCAGGTGTTCCTTGGCAGAACTGCTTCCCCTGTGCACCCAGGGGTCTGCAGGAAAAGATTCTATAATGTAATGCATTCTGTCCCTTCGAGACATCAGTTTATGCAGGCATGGACTTAAATATTCCGCTTCCACACTAAATGAAGGTGCAGACATTTCGTAGCCAATGCATGGGAAGCTCTGCTCTCTGGTAGAGTTCAAGCAGCACACACGTGAGCCATTGCATTTACATATTAGTGATTTGTTCATCTTGACCCCTATTGACAACCACAGGCACATCTATCCGCTCTGACAGTAACAGGGTTTGTCTCGAGATGGAGACACATGAAAACTGGTTGCATTGTGTTCTTTCCCTCTTGAACTTCAGCCATAGCAGCTGATGTAAAGGAATGCTGTACCTTTTCCTTCTCCTATTTATTGACACAACAACAAATCCAGACTCATTCAGCCAAAGAAAAGCTGTACCCAAGCAGCTCCCAGCATGGGGCATCCATAGGCCCTCATTCTCCTGTTTCTTCTGGGGAGACAGCAAAAGGCTCAACCTCCTATCATCTGGTGTCTGGTCTACGCCAGTGGGTCTTCACCCCCAAGGAGTCTCTGGGGACATGAAACATTCTAGTGGGAGCTGGTCATTTCCTTCTGCTGATCTTCTATTATGAACTGGCAAATAGCAAGTGTCCTGTGTCTACTCCTTCAGGAATTAGGTGCACTGCTCTCTTTGCCTTATGTTTTTTTCTGTCCTTGAATCCCTGGGCACAGAGGCAGTTCCTCAAATGAAACATTTCCACGAATAGCAGCTGCTGCAGAAAATACCCATGCAGGGACAAGCACTGTCCCTCACTCTGCTGGGTGCGGGTGGACATGCAGCACAGCCCTCTGCTTTACAGACAACCCCTCTCCAAGGTTCACATAGTCTCATGTGTGACCTTCCAGTGCCTGTGCTAACCTGGGCCCCAGACCCCATTCCCTGGGCAAGTACAAGTTCTACCCTAGTACACCAGTGCAGTCCAGAGAAAGCTGCACTGCCATTGATCAACAGGAACAAATGTTATGCCAACTCTGAAAAGTGTCAAGGCTGTCCAAAGCAGCTGTAACATTGTGTGCCTTTGATGTGGAACTGTCGTTGACCCCTTGGGATCTGCATGCTGCCGTCCCTGAGAAGGAAATGTAAGGCAGCTCGTGACGTTATCTGGGGTGCATGGAAGACAAATTCTTGATGCAGACAAACCATGCATGGACTAGGGGAGAGACTCTGTTGGACCTGCTACTCACAAATGAGGAAGAAATCTTGGATGATATAAAGCTCAAGGACAGCCTTGCCAGCAGTGACCAGGAGACTGTGGAGCTCAAGATCCTCAGAGGGCTGAGCAAGACAAGCAGGATGACTACTGCCTCAGACTTCAGAAAAGCAAACCTGGCTGCTTAGCGGAATGGCATAGGAAACTGTCCTGGAGCACACAGGATCCCAGGAGAGCTGGCTAACCATCAAAGACAGCCTCCTCACAGCCAAAATTGACATCTGTAACGTGGATGAAAAAATACAGGTGGTGTAGAAAATGGCAAGGGGGGTGAAGGGAATCAAGAAAGGTATTTCTGAGCTTATTGACAGCAAAAGTAAGGCTAAATAGATGTGAGATCTTTGCTCAGTGAGGATGGGGACCTGGTGACAAATTGTAGTGAAAAGGCTGATGTACTCGATACCTATTCCTCCTCAGCTTTTACTGATATGGCTTCTCCTCAGGCCTACCAATTTCCCTGAGCCTCCCTGCAGACTCTCTGGGAAGGAAGCTGTACCCACAGTACAGGAAGAGAGCACCAAGGAGCTCTTTCTTACCATTTTGGCATACACAAGTTCATGGGATGACTTGGGGTGCATCCTAGGGTGTTCCAGGAGCTGACTGCACAGTCTCTACTCAGTCCCTGCTAGGAACATGGAGCAAAGACTCTCAGATGCCTGTTCTAAATTCTTGAAAGGCAAGAAGGAGGTTGGGAGCATTCACATGGGTTTACTGAGGGCCAATCATGTCTCACCAACCTCATTACTTTCTATGAGGAGGTGACTGGCATTGTGGGGAAGGCAAGGGGCACCAGCTGTGGTGAGCGATGTTTTTAGCAAGACCTTTGACATTCCTTCATTGGTGCACAAAGCTGTACACCTTTAGGTACATAGAGGTATGCACACTCACAGACATGCACATGCAGAGATAAGTGTGCACAACACAATCTCACACACTTGGGCAGAATCACACACCTGAACTTGCCCACACTCAAAGAGTAACTCTTATGTGTGCATTTCTAAAGGGATGTGTGCATACATGCTTCCAAAGCATCCCATGTGCAGACACAGGCACAGCCATCCACCAATACCAACACGTACACACAGATATCCAAACACACTTGCTTAGAGAGATGCATGATCCTGCGCACATGTGTTGGTGTACAGATACACATGCATGCTTATGTACAGAGATGTACACACATAAAAGAACATATCCACACGCACCTATGCTCACACACCTTCCTACATGCAGACCAATGTCACACCCATCCGTGCTCACCACCATGAAGTCACACGCATGTGTTCAAACACATACACATTCACGAACAGATGTGACCAGACACACAAAGTCCTCAAAAGGGAAGAAGGAAAAGAACAAGAAAAAAGGACAGCAGAGTTGCTACACCGGACTTCAGGAGTGCAAACTTTAAGCTATTCAGGAAGCTGCTTAGCAGAGTGCCCTGGGAATCTGCTTTTATGTCTTAGGAGTCCACGATTGCTGGTCAGTCTTTGAGAACCACCTTTTAAAAGCACCGGACTGGGCAATTTCGCTGTGTTGTAAATCTACCAAGCAGCGCAGAAGACCAGCTTGGCTGAAGAGGGAACTCTTCACGGAACCCAAAAGGAAAAAGAAATTGTATGATCTCTGGAAGCAAGGTCAGGCTTCGCAGGAAGATTGCAGAGCTGTGGTTCATATACGCAGGGAGAAGACAGGAAAGGCCAAACCTCGGTTAGAGTTGAAACGGGCTAGAGTTTTTTGAAGTAACAAGAAGGTCTTTTTAAAATAGATTAATAGCAAGTGGAGGTCTAAAGAAAACATTGGACTGACACTTGTTGAAGATGGTCACCTGGCTGATAGGGATGAAGAAATAGGGGAGGCATTCAATGTTTTTTTTCCCTCAGTCTGTAATAATACAGACAGACCTTGGGCTGCACGGTCCCCTGAGTCGAAGTACCACAAGTGTGGGAACAGTGTCTTTCCATTTGTGGATGCTGAAATTGTAAGAGACCGGATGTATCAGCTGAATGTTCATAAGTCCATAAGGCCAGGTGAGATTCACCCCAGACTACTGAAGAAGCTGGCGGATGTTACAGTAGGAACCCTTTCAATCACCTGCCAAAGGTATTGGGAGTCTGGAGAGGTCCCTGCTGACTGGAAGCTAGTCAATGTTATTCCGATTTACAAGAAGGGTGTGAGGGATGTCCCAGCAAACTACAGACCTATTAGTCTAACCTCCGTACCTGAAAAACTTCTCGAGAAGATTACATTTGGTGCAATTGAAAGGCATTTAAAGAATAATGCAGTCACCAGGCACAGTTACATAAATCCACAAAGGCAAGAGTCCTGTAACTAATTTGATATTTTTCTGTGACAAGGTCACTCACCTAGTGGATGAAGGGAAGGTAGTGGATGTAGCTGTTCTGGATTTTTGTAAAGCTTTTGATACTGTCCCTCACAGCATCCTTCTGGACAAGTTGTGCAACTGTGAGCTGAGCAGGTACATGGTACATTGAGTGAAGAGCTGGCTGGAGGGCAGGGCTCAAAGCGTTGTGGTGAGGGGGGGCTTGATATGGCTGGTGACCGGTCACCAGTGGTGTTCCTCAGGGCTCAATTCTAGGGCCAGTTCTGTTCAATATATTTATCAATGATCTGGATGCAGGAATTGAATGCACGATTAGCAATTTTGCTGATGATACCAAACTGGGAGGTGCTGTTGACTCTCTTGAGGGACAAGAGGCCTTGCAGAGGGATCTAGATTGGAGCATGGAGCAATCACTAATGGCACAAAATTTAAAAACACCAAATGCCACATTCTGCACCTGGGACAGAGTAATGACAAATGAAAGCACAATTGGGAGAGCAGCCCTGCAGAAAGGGATCTGGGAATGCCCCAGCCCCCCCCCCCCCCCCGGGCGGCC